GCATTTACGTCCCTTTCTCTTTTTGCAGTGCTACGGTTTCCTCTAAACATGCTGCCTAGCTTACTAAGTCAGGTACCATTAGTTTCTGATCTGTTCACTTATCTGACTTCCTGCTTTTGGCTTAACATCTAAACCTGTATGGTCTCCTTTCAACGTGTAATATATGTTTCGTTTGTGCTTAATGGAATGTTACCTAGTTTCTCCTCATCCTTGTGAGTTTGTAACTCTGCTCTAATTTAACAGGTTGTGAATGCAAATGTATCGTTACAACGTTTGGAGGAACTATTTTTAACCGAGGAGAGAATTCTAGTACCAAACTTGCCTCTTGAACCAGGGCTTCCAGCCATCTCAATTAAGGATGGGTACTTTTCATGGGATTCAAAGGTCAGCGCTTGAGGATTATATATATATAGTACATTCTTAGTTATGTTGAAATGTTGCATAAGAAAATGTGTAGAAATCCCAGGAATATTTGTTCGTACTTGATACTGAGTATCAAGCATGCCTCTTATCTTCTTCTCTTTTTTTTGATTTTTTTTTTCTTTTTTTTCAGGCAGAGAATCCTACATTATCGAACATCAACTTAGATATACCAGTTGGCAACTTAGTAGCAGTTGTTGGTGGAACTGGAGAAGGGAAGACGTCGCTGGTATCAGCCATGCTTGGTGAGCTGCCTCCCAGAACAGTTGCCAGTGTTGTAATCAGGGGGACTGTAGCTTATGTTCCCCAAGTTTCATGGATTTTCAACGCTACTGTGAGTCACGGCTTCTCTTATTTGAGTACCTCCAATGTTTAATCTTGTGACCCCTACGTACACTTCTGAGCTTACAAAATTCATTTTTCTAGGTACGCGAAAATATATTATTTGGATCTAAATTCGAATCTGCACGATATTGGAAGGCCATTGATTTGACTGAGTTACAGCATGATCTAGACTTACTTCCAGTAAGTGGATTGTGAGAATTTTTAGGCTTTCAAGTACTGCTCTAGCATGTAAAGGTCTTGATTAGTTAACTACTACACTTATGTTCTAGGGTCGAGATCTAACAGAGATAGGTGAAAGAGGGGTGAATATTAGTGGCGGTCAAAAGCAAAGAGTTTCAATGGCTAGAGCTGTATATTCTGATTCAGACGTTTACATATTTGACGACCCGTTAAGTGCTCTAGATGCTCATGTGGCGAGAGAGGTTTTCAACCGCTGTATCAAGGAAGAGTTGCACGGGAAAACTCGGGTGCTGGTCACAAATCAGCTACATTTTCTTCCTCAAGTGGATCATATTATTTTAGTCTCAGAAGGTATGATTAAAGGCGAGGGAACCTTTAAGGAGCTCTCTGAAAGCAGTATGCTGTTCCAGAAGCTAATGGAAAATGCAGGGAAAATGGAAGCACATGTCGAAGAAAAGGAAGAGAGTGAAAATGATGACCATGAGAGCTCAACACCTACTTCCAATGGGGTGTCAAATGAGTTGCCAAAAGATGCAAGCAACCCAAAGAAAGGGAAAGGGGCGAAATCCGTACTCATTAAACAAGAGGAAAGGGAAACAGGCATTGTCAGTTGGAAAATTCTAATGAGGTAATGCCAGTCGTGAATGCCTTTAGTCTTTTTTGACAATATTAATTGCCAGTGGCAAGTTCTTAATCTGATCATCACGCATCGATGAATGAATTGAGTCTATTTGTTCTTGTTGCAGATACAAAAATGCATTAGGAGGTCTATGGGTGGTCATGGTTCTATTTGTGTGTTATACATTAACAGAAGTTCTTCGAGTTTCGAGCAGCACATGGTTAAGTGTTTGGACATCAAAAAGCACATCGAAGAGTTATAAACCTGGATTCTTCATTCTTGTGTATGGTCTTCTGTCATTTGGTCAGGTGAGCTGATGCGTAACTGGGAGCAGATTCTCACTTTTGCATGTTAGCTACATCATTTTATTCAGTTTTTCCATAAAATACTTAAATCTGAATTTGCTTGGTTCAGGTAACAGTGACACTGACGAACTCTTTTTGGTTAATCACATCAAGCCTTCGTGCAGCCAGAAGATTGCACGATGCTCTGCTTAATGCTATAATGAGAGCTCCAATGGTATTCTTCCACACTAATCCAACAGGACGGATAATCAATAGGTTTGCAAAAGATCTGGGTGACATAGATCGCGGCGTAGCAATGGTTCTGAACATGTTTATGGGTCAAGTGTGGCAGCTCTTTTCAACTTTTGTGCTCATAGGCATTGTGAGCACAATATCCCTCTGGGCCATAATGCCAATTCTGATTTTGTTCTATGCTGCCTATCTTTTTTATCAGGTAAGTTTGACATAGTATCGATCTTTATTAGTTCTTCCGTTTCTTTAGTATCATCATTCGGCATAAAATCTTAATACTTATCCATTCATTTTACAGAGCACATCCCGTGAAGTGAAACGCTTAGATTCCATTAGCAGATCTCCTGTTTATGCACAATTTGGAGAGGCATTGAATGGTTTGTCAACCATTCGTGCCTACAAAGCGTATGATCGGATGGCCAACATAAGCGGAAGGTCCATGGACAAGAACATCAGATTCACCCTTGTGAATATCAGTTCAAATCGCTGGCTTACGATTAGGTTGGAAACGCTCGGAGGTCTGATGATTTGGTTGATAGCAAGCTTTGCTGTCATGCAAAACGGAAGAGCAGAAAACAAAGTAGCATTTGCATCTACAATGGGTCTACTTCTCACTTATACTTTAAATATCACAAATTTGTTGAGCGGTGTTCTCAGGACAGCCAGCCGGGCTGAAAATAGTTTAAATGCCGTTGAGCGTGTTGGATCCTATATAGAACTGCCTTCTGAGGCGCCGGCTGTAATTGAAAGCAACCGTCCCCAACCTGGGTGGCCATCGTCAGGATCAATTGAGTTTGAAGATGTCGTCCTGCGTTACAGGCCTGGACTTCCTCCGGTATTGCACGGATTATCTTTTACAGTTTCTGCGAGTGAAAAGCTAGGAATAGTCGGAAGAACTGGTGCAGGGAAATCTAGCATGATTAATGCATTATTTAGGATAGTAGAAATCGAAAAGGGAAGAATCTTGATAGATAGTTGTGATGTTTCCAAGTTTGGACTGACGGATTTGCGAAAAGTTCTTAGTATCATACCCCAGTCACCGGTTCTTTTTTCAGGTATGCTCTTATTCAACCTATATGTACTTTGATTGAGCTGATATTTTCAACCTATATACATAAAATGCAGCATTCTAACTGATTTCCATCATCTCTCATCTAGGAACCGTGCGGTTTAACCTTGATCCTTCAGCGAGCATACCGACGCTGACCTTTGGGAAGCTCTAGAGAGGGCACATCTAAAGGATGTCATTAGGCGGAATTCTCTCGGTCTGGATGCTGAGGTATAAGTACATCTGTTAAGTTGAAGCTGCTTAAGTGAGCATTGAAAAGTGACAATTTACTATTAAGTTTTAACCTATCTTTATTGCATCAAGGTTTCCGAAGGAGGCGAAAACTTTAGCGTTGGGCAGAGGCAACTATTAAGTCTTGCTAGAGCATTGCTGCGAAGATCAAAGATTCTTGTTCTTGATGAAGCAACTGCTGCTGTCGACGTTGGGACTGATGCTCTTATCCAGAAAACCATTCGCGAAGAGTTCAAATTGTGCACCATGCTCGTTATTGCTCACAGATTAAATACCATAATTGACTGTGATCGAATTCTGGTTCTGGATGCCGGTCAGGTATGTGCCCTCACTTTAATGCGAGCAGGAATCCTTGTGTGAGCCCGTCAAATGTAACCTCCCTCTCAGGATATGCATGTAGGTTCCGCTATGTAAAAATGGTTCCCATGTGCATTTTGTGAGAGGAAGATCGTATCGGGCTCATACAATAATGTTTTACCAATTTTCCGAGTACTCAAACTCATAACTTTCGTCCTCTCCATTTAGGTCCTGGAACATGACTCCCCAGACAAACTCCTATCAAACGAAGAGAGTGCCTTCTCCAAGATGGTCAAGAGCACGGGACCTGCGAATGCTGAGTACTTGCGCGGCCTGGTATTCGGAGGTAAACGGAATAAGGTGGTTAGAGACCGAACGGAGCAGCTGGCTGGTCAGAGCCAGAGGGGATGGTTAGCCTCTTCGCGCTGGGCCGCTGCTGCCCAGTTAGCCTTAGCTGTTAGTCTCACTTCTTCGCAAAACGACCTTCGAGGAATGGACATTGAAGACAAAAACAACATCATCATAAAAACAAATGATGCAGTAATAACACTACAGGGAGTTTTGGAAGGGAAGCATGACAAAGATATAGACGACACACTGAATCAACACAATATACCAAGGGAAGGATGGTGGTCGGCTTTCTTCAGAGTAATAGAAGGTAAAATCTTGAACTCATGTACCTATACATTGTAATACATAGAAGTACAAAGTACAAAACCGTGTATTTTGATGCCGAAAATGGTTCAACGAGATGGAGAGCGTAAAATTACAAACACACAAAGAACACAAACGATATAGCGTGGACTGAACAACAGGAGATAGTTGCGTCAAGAGGGGCGCATTCTAGTGTCTTAAATTTAGATGTGCTTTTTTTTGTTTCGGGAAATGATTTCCGCACAAGCATTTTGTCCCAAAGGTATGTGCAGAAATCAACTTCCTTTCGATTTTTCGTCATCAAATATCGACTTTTTGTTTCAGGTATGGCTGTGATGGGCAGGCTGGCTCACAACAGACTTCACCCGTTAGAAGAAGACTTTGAAGACAAAGCCATAGATTGGAGTTGAACAGAGAGCAAGAAATGTTTCATATTTGTGCAGGCCAAGGATTTTCAGATGTCCAAATTGCAACAAGCAGAAGGGAGTTACCATCTCTGCTTTTAGCTCAATCCATAAGTCGTTATGAACAACAGCAAATCTATATTTTCGAAGGAAAAATATTTCAGTTCTTTCTGCAAGTATGCGTACTGCTTAATATTACTTTGACATTCTTTTGCCAATTTTAGATTCAAATGATTCCGAAGACAGTATTCAAAGTTGTAACTTCATTCCGGTGTGATTTATAAACGTTCCCCCATCCCCTTCTCTAGTTGCTTGGGACAGAAATGGTTACTAGAGCAATACAGCACTAACTGCATCTTACAAAAGCAATTAAGATCAGCCAATCTAACAAAATCCTCAGGATTGTTATGATTAACGTCTTCAACTACGTTGATAACACAATCCCTTCCCCACCCCCCAGTATAAATCTATGAAGTTGAGGGCAGTGCAATTTCAGAAGTGGAATCAAAAGACTCAATGGCTTCCACATAGAGACTTGAGGACGTCATTAACGCTTGGAATACATTAGGAAGGCTCGTTTTCAGGTTTTCCAATGTCATGGCCTTACTAACCTGGACCGAGTTAAGATATTTAGCCTTCTCGCTGTCCACTTGCTTCTTTAAGGCTTCAGTTTTAGCACGCTTAAGTGACAATGGATGCTTAGGGCCTAAACGGGAGTACTCATCTTCGGCAGCGCTCCTTTCCTCCATCTCAACTAATGAATCCAACTCCTTTTGCAGCCTTTTGTCAAGTTTCTCGTATTTTTTCTGCAGATTGTGCTCCTCTTCTTGCTGCATGACAATCGAGTGGATGGCTGCTAGAAGGCCATTAATGGCCTCTGCTGCCTTCTGCAAGCGCAAAAAGCATAAAAAGTAAAAGCTCCCCACATAAAACAGCACAGGAGGTAATTTATAGTTTCAGAGTTAAAAGTACCAACGCCAAGCACAAACTAGGATACGAAATAGAATGGTTCATAATGGTAATCAGTTATTCTTAACTTCAAAATACTTGCAAGGATTTGAACTATATCTAAATCACAATTGATTCATCTAATTTCCACATCTTAGTACATCTTGATCGCCTAATACCTCAACATCTAATACTCTTATCAAATACCCTCTCCATTCTCATCATATGCAACAAGAAATGCACGTAAATTTGTTTTTCCGTCAAAAGCCAACCACATGTTTTGCCTCAGCACAGCAAACGTCCAACTCCTTGTATTTTGTTAAACAAGTGAGAAACACTGAAAAACATAGACCAGGTCGTCCTTTCCACTACCATGTGCAATTTACCTTCCTCCGACAAAACGAGTAATGGGAACATATCTAATGGTGCACTCCGCTTTTAGCAACAACATTTATATAGTAGCTTGTAGATAAGACCATCAAGAATTTTCTTTTTAGGAACGTTAGATTTTCTGGAAAATCAGTGATAGCCAACATAAGGTTTTAACAGAAGTACCTTATCTTGTAATCTTTCAAAGGCAAGATTCCATTGTTCACATATACGGTGAACAGAAGATGAGTACAGACTCTTTCGATCATCATCGACAAGACTGTCAGTAAGTTGGATCCACCTGGAAAGTGTTCTAACATACTCTTTTTGAGATTTTATGACTTTGCAGAAGCTGTCGTACCAACAAGAGACCTCAGTTTCTAGTTGAACTGCAGCTTGGCGATGATAGTTGCTACTCAAGTTTAGCTTTTGAATATCAGTAAGAATATTCAACTGCTGGGAAACATAATGCTGAACTCGGTGACATTCATACATCGTTCTCCACAAGTGCAAAAGCCTGCAAGAGGGCCATACAAAGAAGACATCTCAGGATACAAATAAGCAGGGAAGTGTTTCAATACATTCCATTAAAAGGTGCAGAAGGGCAGTTGAGAATTCCATCTTCAGGGTATGGCAACTTTAATTCTGAAGACAAAACAAATACGATTAAATCAAGCTTTTCTTCAGTAAAAGGTGCTTAGGGATAAAACAACTTCTTGTTTCATTTATTCGCTACTTGGTTGGAATCAACTAGAAAGACTACTAAACACCCCGCTGTATGCAAGAGAAAAGTGTGAAGGAAAGAGTACTAATGACATTTATAGAAACATGAGTAGGATATGATATCATCACGGTCTGATAACTAAGGTGACTGAGATGAATGAGAACAGAAAAAAATGATAACTTGCGTCATCATGATGAACAATTTTCCCTGAGTGATCAAGAGTACTTTATACATTCTACTGTCCTACATAATTTAAATCTAATAGAATAGCATCCATATTATTTTTCTAGACCAAGAAAAAAAAAACAATGGCTTTCATAATCTCAACAATACCCAGAAGTTAGCGTGACCAACTGAGGATACAGCTCATTATCTATGAGCTTCACTATTGAAGAACAAGTAGTGCTGATTGAATCCTGAAGACGTAAGATTTCAGACTCCAAACTCTCAACGCTTAACCGAAGTTTCTCAGTCTTGGTCCAGTCATTGTTTCCATCCTCTTGTTTTTGCAGTAATTTGGATTTCCTATCGTGCTCAAATTTGGTATACTCTACCTCCTGCACAATGAAAATGATTAAATTCTCTAGAAACAAGGCTAGCTGGAAAAGGAGGATTAGGAGGAGGGGAACGAGGCTAGTTTGTGATATTTAAATACGCATTCCGATTATCTTCACTGGATACACTAGTCAATTACTATTCTTACCTTAACTTCTTTGTAAAGTTTCTTTTCGTGATCATATAATTTTTTCAGTGTGATGCAATGAGCTCCTGGCCTGCATGGTTCATTTGGACCAATAGACTCAGCCGCATCTTTAGGAAATTGAAGTGACCTAGAAGACCAGCTCCATGGGAATGCACTAAAGACCTTTGTGGAATTGGACCTCTCCCCTGTAAATCGCACAGCAAAGAAAATATGTGGAAGAGCTTAACAAGTGAAATAGCCAGTAAACACAAGTACACAGACGTAGAGACTGCATTAAGCTGCACAATAACAGAGTGTTGTAAAGAACTAATACATGTGAAATTTTAACTTTAATGTGATGTATTTTCGAGTTAGAAGTGTAAAAATTAATTTTACAAACTTCTCTACCATGCTACATTTACTTTTCTCCAACTTTGTTATAAAGTTTGTGTTTCTGTCAAAAGAAAAAATTATCAAGAAATAAAATGAGACAACGTATAAGAGAAACCAAATCCAAAAATCGACAACATTTACTTTTGCTTTCGCTAGTAATGAGTGGCAGAAAAGTGTCCCCTCCTTTGATGTCCATAAGAACAGCAATTTCCTTTAAACCATCTGATGATTTCAGAAAATAATCATCTAACTCCTTAGCTATACCCTCCAAGGTCTTCTTGCTTCTCCATACTACCATGGGCACATCTGCAGTGTCCTTAGTATGCCGCTTCTTCACTGATACATCCTCCATGATGGCTTCTGCGAGCTGCAGATTCTTAGGCGGTGAATTCACAACATTAGCAACCGTTTCCTCTTCCTGTTCGTCTTCCTCAAATTCCATCTTAGTCTCTTCCCATTTTTCCTCAAGCAATTCCACCGTTTCATCATGTTTATGATGCTCTGGTGAGGAAGAGCTCAGGTTTGGAGGAGGTGGTGGAGTGCTGCTATCATCCTCAGTACGTTCTATGTACTCCTCTTGACCAACTTCTTCTCTGTGACTATCATCCAACTTTCTCGAATCAGGGCTCAAAGGTGGTGGCGGCGGAGGAGGAGGCAAAAGGGGAGGTGGTGAAGCTGGCGACTCCAAGCCGTATGGAGCAGTATTATCAAGCTCCAACATCTCCGACTCGGTAAATTGTCGAAGTGTTGATCCAGTGTTCCTCAATGATCTTAAATAAGCCAATTGTGCCTCAGCAAATTCACCTCTAAACCTTACCAACTGTTTCATTAGCTTCTTTCTCTCCTTGCAAACCTTCACCCTCTCTTCCTTATCAATCCTAGATGCAACACAACCCATTTTCCAGATTAACAAATCCTACTAAAAACAACACAATCTCCTTCCTAGTTTCTGAAATTACAAAACCAAAACTTCCACATCCAATTTTTAACTACTTTGAGAACTCAGAACTCATCATATCAAGAAACGACAGTAGAACTTCCACATCCAATTTTCACAATTTCCACTACATGCATTCCTTTTAATCTGGTCACTGAAAATAATAATAAATAAATAAAAACCCAACAAATTCAAAATCTTCATAAACCAGAAGGCTTCAGAGGTTGTAGAAGTAACAAGAAAAAGAGAAAAAGTAAAGTGGGTACCTTTCTTCTCAGTGAATTTTCAAGCATACACAGATAACGTTGGCATCTTTCACCAGTGAATCAAAGGTCTCATCCTCCAAATCATGAATCTGCTATCTTTGCACTGCATGCATCCACACTTCCGGAGCTTCAAGTCCCCAAAGAAAACAAAAATATCAGTAAAAAAAAGTTACCGACTTCCCAAAATCTCCATATCCCCCATAAGCAAACAGAACTGGAATTAAAAAATAAACGGGTTTTAGAGCAGCTTTTCAGAGAAGTGTTTTTCCTGCCAAGCAGTTCCACAGATGTGTTTGAAAATGCTATTACATAAAAATTTGAACTTTCATAAAATAAATAAAAATATTAATTAAAAAAAATGGAAAGCAAAAAACCAAGATAAACAATGCTTCTGACATGGAAACTGTTAGAGAGAGAAAGAAGAGCAGAGATTTGCCTTGCCCAGAAAAAACTACACAAGTAAAACGACACTCGCTGCTATTAGTAGCAGCAGGGAATTGGGCTTTCAAAACGTTGTGACAGAAAGTAGAATCTTCTTCAACAAATGTGTGTAGCCTTTTCCATGCTTCTCAAGTGGAGACCATTCTCCAAGCACACAGAGAAGAGAGAGAGAAAGCAAGGAGAAAGAGATGAGCTCGAGGCCGAAGAGAGAAAGAGAAGCATCCAAGGACAAGAAGAGGAAGATGGCGCATTATAGCACAACATATAAAAATACTTACCCAAGAAGCAACTCACGATCACGAATGACGACAAATTTTTCAATGTGATTATACAAATTATGGAATTTTGTTGTTAAAATATTAATAACTTAAAAAGTAAAATTTTATATTATTTATATAAAAATACGTAATGTACAATTTGTATTCCGTCACAATAAAAAAAAATTCATATGAATGGCAGACATGATTTCCTTTTGGAAGGCCACTCCGCCAATTGCAACAGTGCTGCCCAAGGAGCAATTTTTCGGTGTACCCGGTACACCAAAAAAATTTGGTGTACCCTCACTCATAATGGTGAGGGTACACCAAAAAAATTTGGTGCACCCTCACTTTTTGTACACCAAAAAAATTCTAATGAGTGAGGGTACACCAAATTTTTTTGGTGTACCCGGTACACCTAAAAATTTTCCCTGCCCAAGAGGTCCAGAGAGTGTGTTACCCCTCGGCGCATTTTAGCAATGAGAGGTAAAACTACAAATTATTGAGAGTGTGTATTCTACATTAGAAAATTAATGTCTTATTTCCAACGGTTCACGTTACTCAATTTGTATTTTTACGTGTTAGGCTTACGTGATCTGTCGCATGTTAAGCCTGATGACAATATGCTCTTACGTCATTCAATATGTATTGTACACGTGTTAAACTTAAGTGACGCCGCACAAAAAAAAAAGACTGTTGAGTATATAAAGCATACATCAGCATGTAATTTATCATGATACGTCAACTTATTTTACTTAAAATATAAAGTAAATTAATAACATTACATGACCGTATTATGCTGGTAATTTCGTATGACGTGCGTGAAACCTAAAGGTGCGCATTCTAGTATGCAAAAGAGGGCCGAGGAGTTGTTGGGTGGCCTTATTCATAAAGCTCCCACTACAATTTTTCCAGTTTGTGTTTAAAAAGCTCTTTTGCTGTATCTTCTTTCCGCTGTTCGCTTTTTCTCTACTTTTTTCGTTCTCTCGAGTTTTTAATTGTAATTAAGTTGTAATAACTTTTATTTCTTAGGTACTAAGAAAGCATGATATGTGGTGTTTCTAGGCTTCTACCATTAATAGGGTTTGCTGAAAAATATTCAAAACTTACGTTGAATAACAATTATCATGAATTGAATTAAAGTTTAGATAACTACAAGAATTCAGAAAACTACTTTTCTAAAGTACCAAAGTTCACTTTTCAAAAAGACTTCTTAAGTTGCGAATTCATCTCTCTTTTTATAATGTGGTGTTTATTAGTTGTACAATCAAAAAACAAAATTCGGGGGACGGTTCATGAATTTAAAATCAATCTATGAGTTAAGAAGTTTCAGTAAGGAGTTGTTTTGAAAAATCTAAAATTGGAAGGGCTTTTTATAATTTATGAAAATTGAATAATGACCTAAAGATATCCATTAAACAGAGTTTAAAAAATGAATCAATCATTGGATTCGTTTCAGTTTATAGAATAAGAACAAATGATTGTTGAAATTCGTGTGGAAGCATATACTTTAAATTTTAAAGAGAGGGTTCGAATAGGCTTCTAGCAATCCAATAATATTATGATTATTGAATATTCTATACTTAACTATCAAATAGTATTCATATGAATTGAATATAAAACTTCACAGTCTACGAGTAGAAATAAGTATAAACAAACTGCATTTAAAATTCTTTCTAAACTCGCATCTGAGTTTAGATTCATCGTTTAACTAATATTTCGTTAATTTATATCTTTTAATTTATCAAAACAGGCATCATTCATCCTTCTGGCGGATGCAGTTAGCCTTCTCATTAAAAAAGCCAAGTGTCATGCACGTAAGATGTTTTTCAAGAGTACATAGGATAGCACACCAATCCACTTTTATTTACTTTTTTAATTTTCAAAACCCACAACCCAAAAAGGAACGCAACACTTTGTTTCATGTACTTTCCTCCTGTATTGGACCACAGGGGGTGTGTTGCCATAATTGCCGTCCCAATTGACCTAAGCAATGACTTGTGCTAGGAAGGATTTGTGGATGTTTCTGGTACAAGTAAAGCTTCTGTGCAGTTTTCCTCCAGTTAATTCAACACACAATACTAAGGATGTTGAGGGAGACTATGTTGATGTTAAAGGTACAATATTCATAGACATTAAACGTTATATCATATGGAGAATAGAACACAACAAACCTTGCCAGAACTTTCAACTCGTCTAAGGAAAAGGAGTACAACATTGTAAAGATTAAACATGTGAGCTATTCTCAAACAAGTTGGTGATAGTGTTGGGTGGTTCCTCATTCCTCAAGCACGTGATCTGTCTTTTGAATCTGCTTCAAATATAATGCATGCATGCCTGGGAGCTATCAGCTCCACCTGAAATGGTGATCGCACTCCTTCAACTCTTCCTGCCATGATTGCCACAATAGTACCGCTAACATCTCGCACCCATGCCCATTTGCTCAAAATAACCTCCATCTATTTTTGTGAGCATTTTCCCTCTTGTCTCCTCGCCCAATGTACTGCTGAAAAAAAAATACCTCACGTGTATGGCACAAGCCTTTTTGAATAAAAAAGCTGACAACATTCACCAAAAGAACGAATGGTGCTTATTTTGGTAAATCAAGAGATGTAAATTAACGAAAAAGTAGTTGAGAAATTCTACTCAGGTGTGAATTCATGGACGAATTCTATATTTTACTCTTTTCATACCAGATTTTTATACCACATTTCTATATCTTCGTAGGCGGCATCTAATGTAGACAGCCACATCATTTGAAAAATTTGCAAAACCCAAGGAAAGGAAGGAGAAAGACTCCTCGTATACCATCATCATCATTTAATTTACTAGTTTTTCTTAATTATTAGTTTATTAAATAATGAACTAAATTTAAAAATCTGATTAATTCAAATGATGTGACTGTCCACATCAGATGTCACCTAAGGTGGTATAAAAATATAGTATAAAAATGTGATATGAATAGCATTACTCATGAAAACTTAAAAAATTGTAATAAAAATTAGAAGTTGGAAGTTTGATCCACCTATTGACCATTTGGCTATTAAAAGGGGCGAAAGATTTATGTTCGTGTTTGATATCTTTGTTCTTCTTCTTCTTTGGGCTTCTCTAAGAAAAGGAAGAATGTAATTTAAATTTAATAAATTGAATCCAACCCACGAAGAAAAAGCCCTATTGGGTCTGTCTGAGGGAGATTGGGCTGGGGCCTCACTCCTGACTAGTAAAGAAGGAAAACTGAGCCTTGAAAACAAGGCAACACTTGTCCCACATCGATCAGTCATGCTATGCTTCAACGCTTTATATACGTTTGCTCCATAATACCCTATGTCCCTTCGGGGACATCCGATAAAATTGGAACGATACAGAGAAGATTAGCATGGCCCCTGCGCAAGGATGACACGCATAAATCGAGAAACGGTCCAAATTTTTTTTGCCCTTTTTTCACCGTCTTCCCGCTGTGTCAAGGTGCTTGCCAGAATCCGAAGGGTAAAATACATAGCTGAATGAGGTTTTGGTTTTTAAGCTACAGGGAAGTATCTTTTATCTCCAGTAATTCATTGTCTTTTGATTCTGTACAACATATGATAGTAGTGAAGCGGTTTGCAAGCACCTGAGAAGGAGGATGTATCCTCCTTTGGTCCATGGCGGCGACTTTTAATGGTAGCATACGACGTTGTAGTATCACGTGTCCTTAATTTAATAACATGTGCAATTCTTTTTTCATATGAAGTTGAATCATTGACACGATTATTTTGTATTTGTGCTAAGAAAGTACTTCTTTCACATATCATATCCAATCATAATAATTAGGTATCAAACTCGTCAATCAAGTAAGTTGAACTTGAATGCTTGACTATACCTCTCTCTCTCTCTCTCTCTCTCTCTCTCTCTCTCTCTCATCGACTAGACAATAAAAATGTTTCAAAAAATTGAATGTTTGAGTCCGCGTGATTTGTTGTTTATTGTTTTGCTAAGTATTTAAGAAGTAAAAAGCAAACAACACAAATTATGATACACTATAAATACTCATGTTATCGCTCCCACGCTCTGCAAACTTGCAGCATACAAGATTATGTGGGTTTCCACATTTTGCATTGAACTTTGGACAAAACTTCACACCTACGTATGCTAAGGTGGGAGTAGGATTCTCTTTCCTCCTAATCTCATTTCCTTATCTCCCTTCCTCTCACATTTTTTTTTGTTTTATTGTCTCCATACAAAAATCAATATAAGATATTGACATGGCTTTACTGTTACTGTTCAAGGGACTCTTTGTCACCTCATATTTTTTACACGATATTTTATAAGTCGACACAAGAATTGACGTTAAATTGTGAAGTGGTAGAGAATCTTCTTAGCATTTATCTATTTGTTCAAACCCTAATTATATATGTTAAGCAATACAATGAACATGAAACTTTAATCAATGGTATATTAATTTAGTCCACTATATTTAGTTCAACCTCAGGTGAAAACAAATAAAAAAACAAGTTGAATGATGCTAAAGCTCTTCACATTTATTTTTATAATATTTGATTGTAGTTCTTATCTTTATGCTTGGTTTTGTAATTTGTTATGAGGAGAAAAATTTATGTAGAATTGTCTAAATAAGTCAGTTCACGCATCTAGTAGATCAATGTAAGGCCATGTCTAACCAAAATACACGAGTTTTTCAACTTTTGTGACAGTTGCTTAGCTAATGACGTTGAAAGACACCCCTACTTAAATTCTTTTGTTCATTAATCTGTTATGATCTATTGACTATTGAGTAAGAGTGAGATTAGGCCTACCCACCTATTTATTTTCAGTTGGTTGAGCAGATTATTCTACACTAAGACTTAGCTGAAGAATATTGTTCATTAGCAGTATTTTGACGAAATTGCCCTTCAGTTGCTGTCGCCTACTCTCAACTCTTTTTTTTTTTTTTTTTTTTTTTTATGTTGCACGCAATTTACTATTTCACCCCTGGTTTACATGTGTTGGTCATCAT